ATAAATTAAAAATATAAATATTTGTAATAAATCCCTTTATCAAACAATATGATTTATAATCCTAAAAAAATTTCAGAAATATAAATATAAAATAGAATTCTAGTAATATTTTAAGGTATAATGCATTGAGGCTTAATCTCAAAAAATTCAACAAGGGTGTATTTTTCATGTTTATAGCAACCTTGAAATGACCATAAATTCCAGCCATACCATCCTTCAGATTCATATTTTGCTGAACCTTCAAATACTATCACTTTATAATCATTACTGCTATTAATTGTAAAGTCTATATTTTCTAATTGAGGATTTGGATCACTTGAAAATTCAAAACTTTGTGATGATCTATAAATAAAAATGTTAACATCTCCTCCATGTTTAACACTATACCAATTTAAAATACATTTCATAAGTGTTTCTGGGTCATCAGAGTTACAATCAAATTTCTGATTATAACAATAACTGAAGTAATTTAATAGAAGAAAAAAATTAAGATGAGTTTTCTTATACGACATTTCAGAAGAAGAAATTAGAAATAATATATAAGAAATATAAAATAAATAGGTGAAAAAGAAATAAGTAAAATCTATTACAATTAAGCAGTATATTTATAAAAATATATCATAGAGCAGAATTTTATAGAAAATTTCAATAAACCCTCCAACACAAGATAAATGATATTGTTTTGGGCTTATATTTATAATAATAGTGTTATTCTTGTTTATATCTATATAATAATACCAATTTAGAGTTTAGGTGTAGAGTTTATTCAATGATTAAGAAGGTTTTTCTATTGATAAATATAAAACTTAGATAGTTCAATAAGGAGATCTTAATGAACACTCCTCATGATTTGCACCTTGTTGAACGAAAAGAACATAAGATTGCTATTAAGCCTAGATCTGATTTGTATCCTTCTTAAATTTTGTTAATTGGAAGTGTCTATATACCTCCACCAGCTAACACTCTCCTTTCATATGTGTTTGCATCCCTCCCCTCCCTACCACTACCCATCTACATCCCTTTGCCACCTATGCCTCCCCTTCCTATTCTATAAAGCATATTCATCCCTCCTCTAAGTTAGCTTCCATCTCAACAAGAATATAGCATTGTAGATGGAGGCAAATAAAGCCATTCATTTGTGTTGCCAAAAGTTGGGAAATAATAAAACTTGTGCTATAAGGTTTAAAGGTATGTGATAAGGTGGCTAAATAGCACAAAGGATCTTTAATGATGCCCAAAGGGATCTCTAATCAGGCATTTGCAACTAAGACCTAAGTAGATCATAAAGTTATGGCAGATGATGGTGTTGGTAGTATATAAGTTAGTGCTTGAGATAGTTTTGGGCTTGAATAGTTTTATTGAGCACTATCATAATTGCCACACAAACAATGTTATCACTTCATATATAATTGTTTATAAAATGTTGAAAGATGAAATGGCAACATGTAAGCACTATAGAGTGATAGTGGTAGGCAAGAATGACAATTTGCAATTATAATATTTGACACTAATACTATCATAGACATTTAACATATGATAAAATTTTCATTTCATGTAAGGATGCATTTAAATTTCTTTTGCCTCATTGTCAACACATTGATTCCATCTATACCTCCTCCTATATTGGTATTGTGGGGAAAATTCACCTTGCATTTGTTGATCTATGGCTTTTGCATAGTTAGAGAGACTTCCAAAGCCTCCAATTTTAGAAACTCTAGGTGATTGTGATCTATAAATTAGAACTAAATATGTATTGAAATCTTAATAAACATAATTAGTGCTTACATAAGTTAGTTTTGCTATGGCTGGCCTTGTAGCAGTTGCGAAGGGAATTGCGGTGGTGGCTGCTGCTGGAAATAAGGGATTGAATATGTCCGTTAAAAACACTAGCTACCAATTTAGGTCGTGAATTTGTGAGTTACCTCTAAGGCAAATACTTTTTCAGACAAGATCACCCAGCAAACTTTTGTTTTGATCCGAGGGAGCGAGCTTAAACAAGAATTCTACTGGAGGGTGGTGACCAGTGGCCCTTGGATCCAAACTAGGATACGATGGCATTGATCCTGCCACAAGGTGTGTTCCTTTAGGAGCATTTTTCTTAAGCTGCAATTTGTTATGACAGCGCACTATGTTTGCATGCATCCTGTCAAAACCAAAAGCAAAATTGTTGGATGTCTCAAAGGGGACCATCCATTCCCAGGCCAAGTGGTGTTACATGCAGTTGGTGTAGGCATGGTTTATCTTGGTATACGTTCCCAAGCCATAGGTTTTACCCACAATTTATTTATCAGAGGCAGAAATGATGAGGTTTTATGCAACTCTGCACAACTATACATGGTATATTTTCTATTTGCCTCTCTCAACTCAATAGCATCGTTAGGTATAAGTTGATGCTTTTTTTGTTTGAACTTTAGTGAAATTACTTATCAGGGGCCTATGAACATTTTAAAAGCATAGTCCCACCATGGCAAACTACTCATCCCGTGGCCCTAGTATTTCAAACCCTGCCATCATCAAGGTAAAGATTTAATCCATGAATTTCTCATGCTCTAGGCATCTTTTTCAGCCTGATGCGGTTGCACCGGGAACATTTATTATAGCTGCAGCACCCGCAAGGAATAGGTTCCGGACAATGTCTGGAACTCCCTCTTGTCTCTGGGATTATTGCATTGCTAAAAGTTTATCAGTGATGTTCTATAGCTATCAGACCTGCCCCGGTTACAACTGGTAGGATTGACTATGAAATTCTGCATTGTTGGATCTAATAGCTTAGAATTATACAGGTTTTGTAGCTGGTGGGCTTACGATGGAAAACCATTTGATTATGGAGGTGGACATGTTAATCCCAATGTTGCAGCTTGTCTACGATCTAAACGTGTCAGACTACGTTGGACTTGTGTGTGAGCTAGTTTCTGGCCAGAAAGTTGTGCCCAAAGAATATCGATCGTTCTGCCATGAAGGTTTGGAGATTGTTCAAGCAATCCAGCTCAACTATCCATCAATTGGGAGTCAATTTGACGGTCAAGCCGAGAGAATTGAAGTTTGACCACGTTGGTCAAGTAAAGACTTCTTGGATGCTGATCCTGTGAGAAAGAAGATAAGAAGTGAGGCTTTTGGGTCACTGACCTGGAAGGACAAAGTGCATGCCGTGCGGAGCAATCTTGTTCTCAAGACAATGTAAATGGGATTGGAAATGATTAAGCAAGATTAACTTTAATTCGTAAGCGTTTTTAACGTGGCGGCGGCTAGAACCCTAAAAGGCGGCGATGGGGAAATCTTCCAAGGACAAACGGGTGGGTCTCGCGGTCCTGTTCTTGCCCATAAGCATTTTTGCTGCCGCGCAGGACATCTACTATCGGAAGGCCAAGGAAGAAGGATGGCGCGCTCGCAGCGCCTTCAAGCTGCTCCAGATTGACGAAGAATTTGGAATCCTGCAAGGTGGGTTTTGTCTATTGGCAATTTTGGGGTCCTTATGGATTTGACAATGTAGGTGTGAAGCGCGTTGTTGATCTGTGCGCGGCTCCTGGAAGCTGGAGCCAGGTATGGAGTTTTGGATTTTCATGTACAACTGGTAGCGACATTCACAGGTTCTAAGCAGGCAGCTCTACGTTCCTTCAAAGAGTGATAAGTAAGAGCTTTGCCTTCCTTTTTCTCTCCTTTCTTTGTGAGGAAAAGATTTATCACTGTGTTCTTCTAGGCAGGATGATCGACCTCTTATTGTGGCTATTGATTTGCAGCCAATGGCCCCTATTGATGGTGTCGTTCAAATTCAAGGAGACATCACTAGTGCACGAACTGCCGAGTTGGTTGGTAGAATCTCAAGTATTATGTAATGTTTGAAGCTCTTTTTTTCTTTTTTTGTGGTTTTTTGTCCTCGTAGGTTATTCAGCATTTCCATGGTTGCAAAGCCGACTTAGTTGTCTGTGACGGTGCCCCGGATGGTGAGATCGTCCCAAAACAATTGCTTTTGGTCTAAAATGTTGAACTTACAGTGACGGGACTCCACGACATGGACGAGTTCGTCCAGGCGCAGCTTATCCTAGCGGTAACAGTTTTCTAGCTTGTAAAGCACAGTGGAGTGACCATGGTTTCGATGCAGGCGCTAACAATTGTAACACACGTTCTTCGGCCAGGCGCGAAGTTTGTCGCAAAGGTTTTCCGGGGGAAAGATATCAGCCTGTTGTACGCCCAGGTAAAAGCGTTTAAATGGTTTTACGCTTATCGTAAACATCGTTTGTGCCAGCTGAAAATGTTTTTCACGACTGTGACTTGTACGAAACCAAAGAGCAGCCGAAACTCGAGCATAGGTAAATCCTTGTCATGATTTTCTACTCCGATCCCTCACGATGCTATCGCTTTACAGAAGCTTTCGTTGTTTGCGAAGACTATCAACCTCCGGAAGGCTTCGAGCCACGGAACTTGTATGATATCTTGGAGCAAGCTAGCGGAGCATACCCGGAACTCGGTAAGATTCTTTTCCTTTTTTTCCACACTCCAAAGCAGGCTTGCAAGCAAATGATGAGTACTGGATTCCCCTTCATGACTTGAGTGATGAAACATTCCAGTTTCTGATGCCATGGTATTTTGCGCGTGATGAAATCACGGATTCCCCTTCATGATCTCTATGTGATGATCAATCCACTGTGCTTTTCTGATGCTTCCAGTTGCTTCGTCTCTACGACAGTGTTCTAGATAATTACGTTTCTCACGGCTTGTTCCTCGTGCAGACTGTTCCAGCGCTTGGCTCGAAGGACCAAACAAAATCATGGTACCATTCCTGGCGTGTGGAGATTTGAGTGGCTATGACGCCGATCAATCGTATCCTTTGCCCAGCGAGGATTATCAAAGCTTAGCTCCCGTGCAGCCTCCAATCGCGCCAGCGTACAAGACGGCGTTGGGCCTCGAGAAGAAACTCCAGATGGTTTGACAAAGTTAGAAAGTTTTGTATTATAGTTATGATAGAAGTTTGGGCGCTTGTTTTTAGGGCTCTTGTTTTTTAGGGTTCTTCTGTTGGGAATGAATGAGGAAGGCGCTCCAGCTGGTCCGGCCATCGATTCAGCGGCATCGACGTGCCATCGCTGCGTGGAAACGATCAAGCTCGAGCACCAGCTCGTCCGGGTGTCTTACGAAGTTCTCAAGAGGTCTGTACGGCAGGGCATTCGCGCAGTGGAGAAGGAGGTGAATGGCATCACTGGCGCTGTTGCCGAGGCCGGGAAGAAGGAGGTGTCGCGAGACGCCGCGATCAAGCAGCTGGATTCGTGCGTGAATCGCTTGAGTGGATTGAAGAGAAAGGTAGTGGCGGTTTGTTAGTCTCCTTTTCGAAGATACGTCTTCCTTTGGCAGCTCCAGGAAATGCACGATGCGGAAGAACAGAATCTCCAAAGATCTCGAGCGAGGTTGGATCACTTGAGTGACTTTTGCAAGGATCCAAAGTGGAAGAAAACAAAGCTTGACAGAATTCTCGTGGACTACCTCTTGCGTTCGTCTTACATTAACACCGCGACTAAACTCGTCGAGCATTCGTCCATTCAGGTATTGCTCTGGAAATGTTTTTTTTCTCTTCACTATGATCAAAGTAGTGATCCTTCGAATCCAGGATCTTGCAGACGTTGGCCTTTTTGCTGAAGCCCAGCAGATTATCGAGGGACTGAAGAGAAAGAGTTGCACGTATGCACTTAACTGGTGCTCGGAGAACAAGGGAAAGCTAAAGAAGACGCTGGTAATCTTTTTGCACGATCGATTCGTTCTAATTTTCTCGTCTGAATATCTAGAGTGTATTCGAATTTAAGCTGAGGATTCAGGAGTTCATAGAACTCGTTCGAGCGGAGAAGGCATTTGACGCTGTGTTATACGCTCGCAAGTTTCTCTCGCAGCTTGCTTCTGTTGATATGCAACACTTGCAAGAGGCCATGACAACTCTAGTACTGAAGCAAACAACAGAGTGTGTCTTTTACAAGGCGAGCTGTTTTATTTATTTATTTATTTTTCTGTTTTGCTTCCTCAAAACACCTTTTCGTGCTTTATATTGCCAGACTTTATTCGATGACAACCAATGGGAGAAACTAATTCAGCTCTTCAAAGACGAGTTCTGCAAGATGCACGGAATGACTTCTCCGTCCTTGCTACACATTTACATCCAGGCCGGTCTTTCAGCTCTCAAAACACCGTAAGCTCTAGTTTCTTGTCGCCTTGCCTGTCCTCATTTCCTTCTCCTATCGTTCTCTAGGCTGTGCTACGAAGAAACGTGTTTGAAGGACGATCCTTTCTCGCATGAAGCGATCAGGAAACTCGCGGAGCCACTCCCGTTCATGAAGCACGTACGCTCGAGGCTCATCTGTTACATCACGAAGGAGCTTATGGACGAGGACAATCCTCCAATGGTTTTACCGAATGGATACGTTTACAGCACAAAGGTTTTGTTTCTCGATCCAGATATCTCAATACTTTCTCATTCTTTTTTTTCTTATTCTTCCAGGCATTGCAAACCATGTCCGATCAAAACAATGGTCTCGTGACTTGCCCAAGAACAAACGAAGTTTTCGCTTTAGCCACCGCGACAAGAGCGTTCGTCTCTTAACAAGGCTAACAAGAAACAAAAAAGAAATGTACATTCAATCGGCGCATTCATTGCCAGTGTAAATCCACCGTCGATCAACACCCGCCCCACAGTGATAATCCAACGGCCTCTATTCCTTTAGGGTTCTTCATCCTCCTCTCTCGCCATGAAGGTGATTGTGGTGTCGCGCAGCGGGCGGGAGATCGTCAAGGGTGGCATTGAGCTCCCAAACGAGGTAAGAATCATCTCCGGACCAAGATCTACCGGAGAGGTGGAGGTTTTCCACTGTTTATGTCCGATTTTCTCGTCCCTCTCACGGCATTTCTTCCCCAGGCGTCAGTGGATGATCTCAAGCGGGCGATCTCCAAGCGCGGTGAGTATTTGACCACTCTCTCCCTCTCTCAGACACACTGATTTCCTTCAAACCTTCTTTTCCTAGTTCCAAAGTACTATGCCTCGAGGCAGCGCCTTACTTTACCTCTAAGGACCGGCCAATCTCGTCCCACGGTACTAGAACACGGCAAAAGCCTCAAGGAATACTTCGAAAGCAGCGATGGTGGAGAGGTGGTTTTCAAGGATCTGGGACCCCAAGTCTCGTATCGGACCTTGTTCTTCTTCGAGTACCTCGGCCCACTGGTGATATATCCGCTCTTTTACTTCTTTCCGGGCATATATTCGCTGCTTTTCTCGCTCCCGGCACGGACCGTGACGCACCCCGTGCAAAAGTATGCGATGTGGTACTGGACACTGCACTACTCCAAGCGAATCCTCGAGACTTTCTTCGTCCACCGGTTTAGCCACGCCACCTCTCCGCTGGGCAACGTTTACAGGAACTGTGCTTACTACTGGCTCTTCGGTGCCTTCATCGCTTACTTCGTCAATCATCCGCTCTACACGCCGGTCCCGGACAAGCAGATGTATCTCGGCTTCGGTATCGGGCTCGTCTTCCAGGCCGCGAACTTTGTCACGCATATCATCCTCCGGGGGCTTCGCCCGGCCGACGGCAAAGGTGGCTACGTTATCCCCTATGGCTTCGTGTTTAACTTCGTCACCTGCGGGAACTACACGACCGAGATCTACCAGTGGCTTGGCTTCAACATTGCGACGCAGACGGTGGCTGGCTATAGCTTTCTTTTCGCGGCGACGTTCATCATGACCAACTGGGCCCTTGCCAAGCACAGGCGGCTGAAGAAGGTTTTGCATCTTCTGGTAGTGTTGCTCATCTTTTCGTGACTTTTGCGCTTCTCTTTCGCAGCTGTTTGACGGAAAAGAAGGGCGAGCCAAGTACCCGAGGCGCTGGGTGATTTTACCCCCGTTCCTGTGAGCACCGCGGGGTCAGGTAGACGTTTTGGCTTCCGTTTTTTTCCTTCTCCCCTCTTTTGCTTTTCATGTTTCAAAGCGCATCTCAAAGTTTTTCTTTTCCAGCTTATCTCAACATCAGCCAAAGTGGCCATCGTTCTTTTGACAACAGAGATGCTCTGAGAGAGAGGAGGCTATTCTATTCATCCATCATAAGAGCTTGGGCTCTTCTCATGTAAGGTGTGGCTCTGTGAGTTTATCTTTATCTTTTATCTTTCGGTACTAACTTGAGAGGGAGACATCATCCATTGCATTACTGCTTATCATACCTTGTTCCTGCTTTCACTCATTCCGGAGCATCTACTAGAAACCTTTGTCAGTCTCCTTCGTGGTCCCCGGCGCGATTCAGAAAAAGATAAAGAGCGCCTAAACATGAAAGTGCATAAACACGAGCGTTCGTTTCCTTCGCTACAGAAGAAACCCCGTTTCAGTCGTCCATCATCCTGCTTTCCATTCTTTCGACATCATCAACTTGACAATATCATGGCCGCCCCTCCCCCCACTTTGCCTTTTCCTAATCCCCAAGCGCTGTGATCTTCCTCTGTGCTCAAACGCATTGAGCTTTCCTTGTTTTTTTTCCGTTTTTTTTTTCTTTTTCGTTTTTTTTTTTCGCTTGCTTGATTGCTTGCCCGGGTCCAAAGCGACTGTAGCCAACAACCGCGAAAACTTGTCCACAGCCTCCATCCATCTGTGGCCGAGCACGCGTTGTTTAGTGTCCAAGTGGGATGGAGTGTGTGTTTTTAATATGGACAGGAGTGGTACGCTCGCCAAAGAGGTCCCCACAGCACAAAGCACTTGGGGATCATCGCCAAAGCTTAGCACAGCGAAAGCGAGCGAGCGAGCGGCACAGCGCCAAGTTAAACAAGGCAAAAAATAATGCTGGGTGACGACATGGAGCAAAGACTTAGAAACTCCACACTCTTACGTACAGGCCGCGACAAAGAAGAGGCCCCCGCGCAAAATACCATTCGTCTGGAAGAAAATCAAAGGGCCAATGGTTTTCCAGGTATTATAGGCGAAGGGTGTTCCATACACGCGATCGATTCATCCATCCAAATCCCTTCTCTCTTTTCTCGGTTCGCTTGGAAGAAGGATAAAGGGCTTATTGACTTTGATGGCGTCCGTACGAGGGGGATATTCCGTGTCGCCCGCGTACGGAGGGGCTGGGCGGGCGGTAAAAGGTAAAAGCCTGTGGTGAAAGAGTTAATTTACCCGTCGGATTTTTTAATGCCTTGTCTTTGGGGTCTCGATTGAGGAGGGGGGCCGCGGCGAGCAGAAGGCGCTGGCTATGGCGGCTTGATTCTCTTCGACGGCGATCGGGCTCTCCTGCGACAGCGTCTTCATTCGCGCATCCGGTTTGCCGCGGCTTTGATCGTCCCTCTCTGGCAGGGTTGTTCTTCATTCTTGTGATTTCTTCTCCATTCTTGCGATTTCCTAGCGATTGCTCTTGCTTCTGATGCATTCTCCCTCCCGGCAGCCGAAATTTCCTCCGGTCGTGTCACTCCCAATTTCCTCCCCCTCTCCCTGTGCTGCTGGCTCTTGCTGCCCGTCACGATTCCGAGCCAAACCCCATCCAGGATGCCCGGCCTCCTCTTCCAGGGGCCGCGGAGGATCGAGATCGATCCTCCTACGCTCTCTGATCTGCTCCATTCGCGCTCCATCGACAAGGATTTGAGCCTAGAGCCTCCGCTTTCCCCTCTCACCCCCGGGGGCAAGCACAAGGCGTGTCGGCCGTCTCTCTCGCAGGCTTCTTGGATCCACAGCTTCAAGGAGCTCGAGAATGGCGATCAATCCAAGACCAATATTTCGTCGTCGCGCTCGTCCGGGGGAGCCGGGGGCCAATGCGTTGCCGCCAGCAACGGCGAAGGCGATCACGACCTCGCGGCGATGGTTCACGAGTTCATCGAGGACGGTAGCCGCGACCGCGACGAGGGCGACGGCGATGGCGCCGATGGCGCGCCACCGGGAAGCCTGTGCGACAGCTTGAAGGTTTGTGTTCTCTCGTTTGCCGATAGATGCCCTCTTCTCTCGCGATTTTCCTCTCCTCACGCTTCCATCAATCCCGCAATGCAGGTGTTGGGATCGAGCAAGTCGGGCGTGGAGGTCGAATTGGTGGCCAAGGTCTCGGCCGTGCTGCTGGCGATGTCCGAGGAGGGCATGGTTTGCTACGGCGATCCAGGCAGCGATTGCAAAGGCGCTTGCGTTCGTCAGCTGGTGGCCAAGCACCTCAAGTCGCAAGGCTACGACGCAGCCATTTGCAAATTGCGGTGGCCGATTTCGGGCAACGTGCCAGGAGGTAAGGCAGATCCACCCAGAGATGTTTGCCTTTCCCTCAGCACTTCCACTGTTCTTGCCATCATCATGGATCTTCACTGCCATCCTAGACAGATTGATCATAGGCACCGTGTCTCTTCGAAGAACTTTTCTTATTTCTTCGTGGTGGGGGGCCTCTGATCGTTGGGTGGTTTTGTCCAGGTGACTACGAATACGTTGACGTTGTATTCGACAGCGGGGGCCAGGCCGAAGATCGCCGCCTGATCCTCGACCTGGATTTCCAGTCCCAGTTTGAGATCGCCCGGCCGACCCCGAGCTACCGCGCAGCGCTCAAGCTCCTCCCGGTGGTGTTCGTGGGCAGCGTCAAGAAGCTCCACCGGGTGCTGGAGATCATGTCCGAGGCAGCCAAGCAATCGCTGACGCAGAACTCGATGCATCTGCCGCCGTGGCGGACGATCGAGTACATGTTCGCGAAGTGGCTGTCGTCGCCGCACGAGAGGATCCGCGGCAGCAGCAAGGTGGTTCCGCTCGCCACCCCGGGTCCGAGCTTCAAGCCCGCGGCGGCGCCGAGCGCAGCCCCTCGCCAGGCATGGAGGTTTTGTTGTACAGAGAATAGCAGCAGCAAAGGTAGCAGCAAAGGTGGGTGCTGTGATCAACTTAGGCGGATCAAGGAGGGCCTCCGAGCAGCAGCAGCAGCAGCAGCGGCAGTGGAAGTCGACGAGGCTCTTCCACCGCGTCGAAGATCATCCAACCATCGAGATCGTGAGGTTCGTGTACATGGTTACCGGCGTAGCGCTAGCACAGCACCGGGGTTTCACAATTGGTAGCAAGGAGCGAAGAAGGGGGGAATTGGAGCTCAACTTAACACCCCCCGATCAGAGATTGTTCCGTCCCGGCCCAAGAACAAAGAGGAGAAGATCTCATCTCCCTCCCGGAAGTTTAGCGTTCCTCGTTTTTCATCCATACTTTTAGCCTATAGCTATAGGGAGACTGCAAACGGAGGCTCTGGTTACCTTACGTAGCTAGCTACCAGTTTTGTTTTACGCTCATACCAGATCAACAAATTTGTGGTTTGTTTGGTAAGCGTTAGCGTTTAGAGATCATGTTGCCTCTAATGGGCATCTTGTTTTCTTCTTATTTTCACTGCGTCGGTTGTTTGGTCGGTTCTTTGCAGAGTCAGTCGTTTTCTAGGTGCCGCTTGGTGGCATTTGGATGGAGCGAGCGAACAAATCCCAACCCCCCATCCCGTTTCTCGTGAATCCAATTCATCGCAAGCAATCTTGTTTGTTTCGGGTCGTGACCACCCAGATCCTCGCCCCACTGCTGCTTGATCTTGTCCTCTCGTTCCGTGAGCGTGTTTTACGTTTCTGGATTCCAGGCCTCTCTCGGGGTCGCGGTCGCCGATTGCGAGAGAGAGAGAGAAGCAGAGCGAGATGGTCGTCATTGTATCTGATTTTCTGCGATGCCAATCCTAGAGCTAGAGTAAAGATATGCTCTTTTTTTTCCTTCTCGCCTCTAGGATGCATAGATTTTTCCTGATTGAATCTTTTTTTTAAATTTTTTCTGGAATTTGAGATAAAGAGATAAACAGAATAATAATATTAAATAGAAATAATAAAATTGCATTGTTTTATTTTCAATCTCTTCTTTCTCTTGCGATCGTGACAGTAAAGTCCTGGGCAGTCCTTTCAGCAGCAGCTGAATTGAATTGAGACCTGGTACGATTTGGAAGATGCTCCTGTGGTTGGCCAGACCAGCCTTTTTTTTCTTAGGGCAAGCCACGGGCACGCGAATTTTACCGGCAGTCTGCTCCAAAGTTACATTGGTTGGTTGGTTCAGATATCGCAGTCCAAATGCTGCAACGCTTTTTTCGAATGCAATAATCATACTGTATAGCATACTGATTCCATATGTGAAAATACATTTTCTTTGTTTTTCTTCTCTTTTTCTTTTTCAGTTCATATGTCACCTAGCCAGCCGACGCTTGTCAAACAAAAACAGGGATACATATTATGTAATGCCCCGCGTTAATAAACGCGGGTGACGAATCTCTTTGGCGGGATCGACACAGCAAAGACAAGCTAATTTTTTTACTTAGGGTCTACCGTTTAGCATTGTCGAGTAAGTAATCGACACTCTTAACCATACGCGCGTATGCTAAGAATGTCGCTGCGCATGGAGATGACAATCCATAGTTTACAAATTGACGCCACGCACAAGCAAACAAGTCCCACGTGTACATCAGATTCCCAAGCAAGTCAATGCATTTGCCCGCTTGAGAGCATATGCTGAAACAGTCGAGTATATTCTGTGCTCGAAGCCCTGGGATTGGGGAATTGGCTTGCCACCTCTATGAGTGCATCAGGTCCAGGGATCTGCTCCAGGGGCGGCGTCTCCATGCCCAGATCTTGCGAGAGAACCTCGGTGGCAGCAAATACCTCGCCAAGATCATCCTCCAGCTTTATGCCAAATGCGGGGATCTGGAAGCGGCGTCGGCGGTCTTTGCTTCTATGGCTGACAGGGACTTCGTTTCATGCAGTATTTTGCTCCTCGGGTTTGCACAGATTGGATCCACTGCAGAGGCAAAGGCCGTTTTCGATTCGATGCCCACGCTCAATGTCGTGGTCTGCAACACCATGGTTGGAGCGTATACGCAAGCAGGGCATATCGAAGAAGCGCATATCATCTTCCAGAGGATGCCTATGGTAGATGTTGTGACGTTCAACTCGATTCTGGCAGGAGTCGTCAAGGGCGGAACGCTTGATGAGGCATTGACATTCTTTTCTCGGAGCCCAGAACACGACGTAGTTTCTTGGAACTCTATCTTACATGCATATGCCCAATCAGGGCATCTGGAGGAAGCAACGGCAATTTTCTGTTTGATGCCGGAATGGAGCTGCGTCTCCTGGAACGCGCTCTTGGCAGCAGTGTGCGACTTTGGTAGCATAGATCACGCAAGGGAAGTGTTCTCTCAGATGCCGCAGCGCAACTCTGTTGCATGGAACACCATGATTGCTGCAGTGGGGCAGAAAGGAGAGGATTTGGGCCAAGCAAAGCATCTTTTTGACACGATGCCGGGTGATCGATCACTGGTGACTTGGGCAGGATTGATCGGGGCATTCTGCTCGAACTCTGGCCCGGATGATGCAAAGACCGCGCTTCAGCTGGCACCTTGTTGGAGCTCCAGCGTAGTAAGTTTAATAGCAGTAGCGTGCGTGCAGGATGGACGCCTTCACGAAGCAAGAAGATGGTTTGAGATACTGCCGGAGAGAGACACATTAGCTTGGGTATCCATGGCCGCAGGATATGCCCGTAATGGGTACCTTGCTGAGCTTGAATCTACAGTCAGCAAAATGCCACAGTGGCATCCGTCAACTTGGCACTCTCTCTTGCAAGGCTACGTTAACTGTGGCAATTCAGAGGAGGCAGAAGTAGTGTTCTTGAAAATGAAGAGAAGGAGTGTTGCCGCCTGGACGTCTATGGTATCATCGTATGCCCAAAAAGGGCATATAGATCCTGGGAAGCTGCTTTTTGACAAAGCGCCAATGCACGACAGGGTAATGTGGAATACGATGTTGAATGGTTTTCTCCAGTACAATGACTTGGAAGCGTTCAAAGAGGTGTTTTACGGGCAGGCCTTGACCAGAGACATCACGTCGTGGACTGCACTGTTGCAAGCGTATTCCCAGGCCGGTCAAGTCCAGGAATCCCAAACCGCGTTTGAAAGGATGCCACAGCAAGATGCCTTCTCAGCGGCCACAATGCTGGCGGGATATGCTCAAAACAAGCACATTGACGAGGCCAAGGCACTTTTTGACCGGCTACCTCACCGGAGTGACGTCTGCTGGACAGTCATGATAGCTGCGTTAGCATTGACCAAGAAGAAAATTAATGAGGCCCTGTTGGTCTTCCAGAAGATGCCCATGAGAGATTCTATGCCGTGGAACGCCATGGTGACTGCATATGCCCAAACCGGGCATTTTCTGCGTGCAAAGGAAACTTTTGACGGCATTCCTCATAAGTGTCTGGTCTCTTGGGCGGCGATGCTGGGTGGATATGCCCAAAGCGGTCGTGCTGAAGAGGGCATCACCTTGTGGCGTCGACTGGGGCAAGAAGGAATTGCGCCCAACGAAATCGCCTTCACAAGCGCATTGGCGCTGTGTGGCGGCGCGGGGATGATTGAGGAGGCGGCACGGGTATTCCAATCCATGGCGGCGGATCATGGCGTGAGACCATCGAGGGAGCACTACAGCGCGATGGTAGACGCTCTTGCGAGGGCTGGGCATTTGGAGGAGGCCGAGGAGCTCCTGGCTTCAATGCCATTTCCAGTGAATCCAGTGACCACTACTTCGATTCTAAGCGCTTGTAACTGGCACAGGGATTGGACAAGGGGGGAGCGAGCGGCTCGTGGGCTGCTAGAGATCGACTCTAGCCACAGCGGCCATTACATTTCCCTGGCGAGACTAGTACTTTGACCGGTCTAGACCAATTAGTCAACGAATAGTGGAAGATCCGTATCTCCAGCGGTTGAATATTCGTTTCATGGAGTCGGATCTTTGGATATGCTGCTGCGAGCTCCACTTTGGTACGTTTGCATTTTTTTTTTTCTCGGTATCATAGAGGAGTGATCGTTTTCACTCCTCTCTTCTCTGAGAATGGTGTTTGAAGGGCTCCGTGGTGTTCGCCTCGAGCACTCTGTTGCTTCAAGCGAGGACGAGGAATGGTATGTGAATGGATCGAAACATCTAAACCTTTCCCTGGTTTATGGAAATGGGTGTAACAACAGGACGATGGAGCGCCTGAAATCGCGAGCACAGCCTGTGAGGCGCCTGTGGCTTTGCTGGTTACGTCCTCTTTCGAAACATAAGCACGGTCAGTTTTGAGAAATACTCTTCGTGATCGAGAACTTGGATTTCTCCACTAACGCAGATGATCACTGCTTTCTCGAGACGATTGCTAACGTCGTGACTTCGTTGCCCTTCATCTTTGTTGGATTGCAAGCGCCAAGGTTAGCTATGAATTCCATCCATTGTATTGAGAGCATGCCACTTTGCTCGCAGAAAGAAGACTGTGAGCAAGTTCTATGCCGATTCCTTGATCGGTGTTGGAGCTGCCTCGAGCTTGTACCACGCATCGAGAGGAAAAGCTCGACAACTTCTAAGGCGCGGAGACTACACCATGATCGCAACCTCAGCTCTGGTAAACTTTCGACTTTCCTCAATCTTTGCTCATGGGAAGGTTTTTTTGGATCTTTCAGTGTCTATCAAGAGCTCTTCTACAATCCGAGAACTGGAAAGGATTTTTCGCCTGCTCTGCAGCTCTCGTCCCGTTTCAACCATTCCTCGTGACCATTCTTCACACTGGACTTACCGAGGTGCGAAGTTTTCTAGCTCGACATCGATCGATTCTGATTTTTTCGACTAGGCCACTTTCGCAAGGCGCGTGCAAACACAGCCTCTTCTCAAGCCAGCTCACAATCTCCACACCATTTCCTCGCTCGCCGGAGCCACATTGTTCCTCGCAGATGGTCTCTATCCACAGACTCCATATCTCCACGCCGCGTGGCATCTGGTCGCCGCCGTGAGCGTTCTAACTTACAACAAGCTACTAGAATGAAAATGAAATCCTGTAAAACCCGCATTCTTTCGTTTTGAAGAAAATTTGAAGCATATTCCCTCCCATTCCCGCTCAGAAAGAAGAGCCATAAGCGGCTGACCATTAGAAATAGAGCCTCGAGAGATAAAATGGAGATAGTAGGAACATACTGCAAGTAATATGCTTGATCAAACTTGTTTGGAAACTCCGGTTCCCGATATGAGATTCCAAAGTAGTTTCAGTGTTATATTTTGAGGATGGTGAGTGAAGAACATTTGGAAGAGCAGTGGCTGCAGCAGCAAGATTACAAAGATGAAGAAAAACAAGAGGGCGATCAGCCATCAAATCTACTACCAGTGCCAGCAGTGGAGTTCCAGACCAAAGATTTGCTCAAATGGATGGAAATGGTGCCAGCCTTCTCGCTTCCAAGCAGCAAATACTTGACGAGCGAAGCAGAGCTGGATTGCTCGAGGTGGCTGAGCCTGGGAGTCGGAGAAGAAGCCCCGCCACCACCGCCTCCAAAAGCAACCCGCAAAAGGTCTCGCTCGCCAGCGGATCCCCACGACTTTGATAATCTTCCAAAGCGGGGGTGTCTCGGCTCCTCCAGCATCGATCAGCGGCCGGATCCAAGGAGCACCAGGGAGCACCTCTTCACCAAAGTTCTCACAAGGAGCGACACCAGCAAGCTCAACCGGCTGCTCGTCTCCAAGAAGGACGCCGAGCGCTGCTTCCCGCTTGTCATGGCCGGGAATGGAGAGCCCTCCGCCTCCCCTTCCGCGGCAAGGACGAGAGGAAGTAGCAGCGGAGAGGATGGCAACCGGTTTGTAATACTTGCGTTCGAGGACGAGAGTGGAAGAACTTGGAAGTTTAAGTACACGCACTGGTGTAGCAGCCAAGGCAATGTCTTCACCACCGGATGGATCAGCTACGTCAATCATAATGGGCTGCGTCACGGGGACGAGGTCTCGTTCTTCCGCGATTCGTACACTAACAAATACTACCTGACATTCCGGAAAAAGAACCAAAAGGCATAGCTCCAGTTAGAAAACTTTGTATCAAGCGAACAATTTACACAAAACGTTACCTTGCCTTTGGTACCGTCGCGGCATTTGCTAGTAGCACGTATGTCTCAGCTCCACCACCTTTTCCGGTTTCAAGAATGCTTCTAGCAGCTGCGAGCATGCGTGGAGAGGTGCTCCTGGATGCCGTGAGAAAGCATCTCCATTCCAAAGTCCCATGCGAAAAAGGCATGTTGGCGACGAGATCTTGGGCCTTTTCGATATGCCCGGCTCGGCTCAGGAGGTCGACCATGCAGAGGTAGTGTTGCTTCGTCGGTTGGATCCCAAAGTCGAGCGTCATGGAGATGAAGTAGCGCCGGCCTTCGTCAACTTTGCCCAAGTGCGTCACGGCGATGAGGATGGAGACGAAGCTCTCTGCGTCGGGAGCATGAGCGAGGCTGATCTCGCCGGCGAGCTGCAAAACGCTGCTGGCGTTGGAAGCGGCGAGCATGGAGTTCCACGACGATGGGGTCGTTTCCGGAAGAGCGTCAAAGAACCTCTTGGCTGACTTGACATCGCCGTTGCGAATGTAGGCCGTCAGCATTCCGTTCCGGGAGATCACGTCCCGGCCTGGCATGCTGTAGAAGAAATCTCTCGCACGCCCGAGATGCCCGTTCCGAGCATATGCCACGAGCATCGACGTCCATGAGAGCAAGTCCTTCTCGGGCATACACGCGAAAAATCCCACTGCGTCGTCAAACTTGCCACAGTTGCAGTAGACGGCCAGCATTGCATTGGAGGACGGGAGATTCCACAGCGGCATCCTGTCAAAGTGTGCTTTCGACTCCTCGAGACGACCTTCACGGACATAAGCTGAAAGAACAGTTGTCCAGGAGATTATATCCTGCTCGGGCATCGTAGTGAAGACTTCTAGTGTCTCCGACAAACCACTGCTGCTGCTGTCTTCCAGGCTCGAGGCTAGCATAGTGTTGAATGAGACTAAATCCCACTCCGGCATTGAAGAGAATACCTGCTTCGCCTCTTTCAAAAGCCCATTCCGGACGTAAGCCGATAGCAGTGAATTCCAGGAGACTATATCTCGCTCTTCCATCTCATGAATTACTTCCCAGCACCTGGAAAAGTCCTGAATCTCGGAGAAAACTCCCAGCATGCACGTTGACGAAACCATACTGAGCTCTGGCATCGTTGAAAAGAGTTCCCTGGCCTCTCGGAGATACCCGTTTGTGGCATAAGCCGCTAGCAGCGCGTTCCAAGCAACCACGGTGACGAACGGCATCTGGTCGAAGATGGCTTTGGCGTGCTCGACGAACCCGTTCTGGGAGTAGACTGTCAGCATGACGATCCAAGAAAAGAGATTCTTCGTTCTGATTGCGTCGAAGACCTGTCGGGCGTGTCCCACGCTTCCAAGCTTGCCATACATGTGAACCAGTTTGTTATGGATGAAGACGTCTTCTTTGTCCACAAGGGCGCGCTGGATTTGCTCGTGAATGTCGGCGGCCACGGCCAAGTTCCCACATTTATCTATCAGCTCCACGTAAAATCTGCGCTGCATGTCCTTAGCTAAAAATAAAAGTTCAAACTTAGGCTTACCTCCAAGTTTCTGCTCGATGGCTTCCGTCTCGGATGTTCATGTTTTGGTAGTCCCATTCCCGGCACAGGGCCACATTAATCCGATGCTGCACCTCAGCGACCGTCTTGCTTCCATGGGAGTCCTCGTTACTTTCGTCAACACGAGAAGCAACCACGATAAGATCCTGAAGTCCAACTGCGAAGCTGATAGCTTGAGATTTGTAAGTGTCCCAGATGACTGCCTACCTCAAGCCAAGTTGCTGAGCCACCTGGAGCTGTTTCTTGACACTGCCGCAACGTCGATGAGAGACGAAGTTGAGAAGATAGTTGAGCAGCTTATGGGAGATCTGTCAGCTCCGACTATCACTTGCATTATATCGGATGCCTTTTTCTACTGGACGCGAGATGTTGCTCAAAAGTTTGGGTTCAGCCGAGCATGCTTCTGGACGTCTTCTGCAACATTCGCGTTGATATCCTGCTACATTCCTTTCCTTCGAGAGAATCTGGAAGATGGTAAGCATAAATCTAAAAAACAGAATAATATTTTCTCACCTTTTCAGGAGGAACTTTAGACAGTATCCCCGGGCTCCCTCCGATTCCCGCACACTACCTTCCTTCTAGGTTCTTAGATGGCCGTGAAGACCATATCAGGCACCGAATGTCCATCGACGACAGTGACGCGTGGGCACTAGTAAATTCCTTTGACGACCTTGAAAAGGAACAATTTGATCAGCTTCATAAGAAGTTCACAAGCATTGTGGCTGCTGGGCCATTCATACCTTCAAAAGAGTATAGTCGCTCTGTGTGGGAGCAAGAACTCTGCTGCATGAATTGGCTCGACGAGCAGCCACCTCAGTCCGTTCTCTACATATCCTTTGGAAGTTTGGCAACTCTCTCTTTGAACGACACTCAGGAGCTTGCCAACGGTTTGGAACAAAGTGAGTACGCATTCCTGTGGGTTGCTCGCTTGGACCTGATAGAGGAAAACAGTGAATTTCTTCAGCAGAGGTTCAAGCATAACAAGCGGGGTATGTTTGTTACCTGGGCTCCTCAGATGAAGGTTTTGCAGCATAGCTCCGTCGCTGCATTTCTGACGCACTGTGGATGGAATTCGCTGATGGAAGCTATAGTTTCAGGTGTTCCAGTTCTAGGATGGCCATGTTTTGCAGAGCAGAAGTTAAATTGCTTATTCGCAGTGGATCCGTGGCAAGTCGGGTACTATGCGTATAACACCAGTATTGGGCCTACCGCAAAAGATATAGAAGAAATGATACGCAAGATTATGCTGGCCGAAAGTGTCCCGAGGAAAAAGGTCGAGGTGCTGAGCACCGCATGCGTGGAAGCTCTAAAACGAGAAGGCTCAAGTACGAAGAATCTGCAAGCCTTCGTAGCAGCCATGCAAAAAACAAGCACTGTAAAACTCCAAAGTTAGGATGCACGTAGAAAGCGTTTTAACTGGAAGTGCTTACCCGTGTCGTCGCAAGAAAGATAAAGAATCACGCATTTTCTCTGTCATCGTCGAGTACTCCGTGAATGCCACTTTGATTGACGACAAACTCGCACGACCTGTAAGGTAAGTGTGGAGCGAACAAAACGTGTAACTCCCTCTTTGTACTCTTCGAAACTTCGGCCCCATCTTGGTGGTCCAGCTTTGGACGCTTGGCTGTAGCTTGCAAGAATTCCTGGCTCCTTGATAGAAAAACCCTGATGTTGATGCAATGCCCCCACGCTAAACCCAACGCTGGAGCCACCCTTCTCCGAGACGACACAAGCTCCGCAAGATTTCCTATCTGGATGCCGCTGGATCCGTCCATGCAATCCATCACCTGGTTCGTTACTACGACTGCCACATCGTACCTGTGAGCCAATCTCTTGAGCTTGGCGGAGACCTGAAAGAGGGTTGCAGCTCGGACCACCATCTCCGCTCTGTTGTTCTCGAATTCCGAGCGAAACAATGCCGCTATGGAGTCGATCACAAGCAGCCTCACCGGCATCTCCCGCTGCATCTCGAAGAGCTGCTCCAAGCGATCGAAGAGGGCAATCAGCTCTTGGATCGTTCCAACCGCTTCCACGAACACATTGTCGCAGGGATCAAACCCTAGCCCCCTGGAACTCTGGAACGCGCTAGCGAGCTGCCGCAACCGGCGACCTGGAAAGTACCCCTCCGTGTGGATGTAGATCGCCGAGCCATTCAATCCCCCGAGAGACCCTGGCAACTGTACCGTGACGAGTAGCTGGAGCGCGAGCTGCGTCTTGGCGGCGGTGCTCTCCCCAACGAGCTCCGTGATGGCGCCGCAAGGAAATCCTCCTTCCAAGACCTGATCCAGCACCGCGCAGCCCAATGTCACGCGCTGCCGCCTCCGGATCACCTCCATCTCAAGAACCCTAAAACGAGAGCGCGGGGAATTCAAATTTTAAAATTAACTTTCAAATTCACATTTTAAGCTCGAGTTTTTAAAGACCATAGGAAAACTTCCCCTGGAAAAACATCACGACCACAGGAAACGATAAGAACATCGATCCATCACAGGCAAAGTAAAAATCGTCTCTAGGCCGGTGTTGGAGCCGGCGTGGTAGTGGTAGTCTGACTCTTAAACTTCGCCAAGCCCAGCACGATCTGGTAGTCCGCTGGCCTGAGCAGCCACTGGAAGCTCCGGACGATCACATCTGGAAAGATCGCCACCACCACCACCAAGAGTTGTAGCAGCCAGTAGCTCGGGGACGGTGCCAAGACTTCCACAAACTCCATGAAAGCCCCGGTCGATAGCTCTGGCGATAGCGAACCGTAGATGATGAGGAAGAGAAACCAGACGAGAATGCTGCCCCAGATCAGGAAGTGGTGGATCCAGGTGAAGTAGTGTACGTAAGTGAAGAGCTGGAGATTGGGTACCAGGACCAGTCCGGTGAAGAGTGCCGCTCCGAAGTCCTGGAGCGCGGCTGGCTGCCCGTTTGATCGGAACGCCGAGACCAAGTAGAGTGCCACCGGGAAGAAGAAGATGACGAGCGATGCGTAGACCGAGTGGATGATAGATAGAAACACCAGCTTCGTGTTGAAGTACTGCTGCCTCTGGCCTGCTCGGTAAAGCTGCGGGTATCTTATGCAGTCCTCGGCGGAAACGTCCTGGTCTGTCGTTCCCACCGCTCCAACAGGAAGTGCGGTGAACACCGTGCTGTAGAAGGATGCGTACCAGTCGTCGTAGAGAGGATTGCCCGAAAACACCGTGAAAATATTCGAGTAGACAGAAATCCAGCCTATAAGGCAGACTTTGAACAAAAAGTAGCGAATCTGCGGAGGGCGAAATGCATGGGTGTGAGTGTCAGCAAAGACTCTACGACCGGAGAAGCTTACCATGACCGAAATACGTCTATAACACCAATGACCATGTACAAGGAGTAGTCTCTCCAAAAATCGGAACTTTGCGATGGTAAAATCGGCAGCCATAGCAGCCTGCAGTCAAAACACAGACAAAGGTTTTAGTCCACTAGAGAAAACAAGAGAGTTTTTTACCTGAGCACCTTCGACGCCAATAATCCCTACACCAACGTTGGCAACCTGGATCATTCCCACGTCGTTTGCCCCGTCGCCTATAGCCAGGCAAAGCTTGTCTTTACCCAATCCCTTCATTACCAGCTTCGCCACGAATGCCTTCTGCTTGGGTGAAACTCTACAACAAATAACCGAGGAGCATTTTGTAGCTAGCTCCATGAATGAGTTCTGCAAATCTCCCGTCAGTATGACTGCCAGTGAATCACCATCGATAACAAGTGCATAGGCATCATTCACAGCGTCGTCCATCTTTGTGTAGCTGCTTCTATCTCTCGACATCGTTCTCTGTAGGTTCTGGCTTCCAAAGGATCGAAAGCTTGAGACACCTCCGCTGTCTCTTTGAAGGATATTAGCAAACCTGCCAGACCCTCCTTCATGACGACTTGACGAGCTCCCGCGTGGAAGTTCATCCAGCTCAATGTTGCTCTCGAAGGCTCTCAGGCCGTCGTCGAGTTGCTGACGAACCAAAGTTTGCAGCTCCTGTAAAGTTGCCACAAGTTAATTGATCCCAAGAAAGGCTTCATAACACATACATCTTTTCTTCTTCTCGCTCTATCGTCCGGGGACAATCCTCCATGCGACAGCTTCTCGTCAAGAACCTGCACTGACGATCCTCCCAGGCTTACGATGAGTTTATCCATGCCGGGTCGCAGTAAACTGTGGAAAAAATACCATACGAACATTTAAAATAGATATGTAAGAAAAAAGCGGTGCCTTTTACCTGCATGCGTAGCCAATGTTAATAGCGGTCTCCATCTTGTCTCCCGTTAGAACCCATATTTTGATTCCTGCCTGAGCAAGGCGTTCGATACACTTGGGGACACCTTCCTGTAGCTTGTCTTCGACACCTGTTCCACCGAGGAGTTTCAATCCTCTTTCTATCTCGTCCTGTACTTCTTCCAGAATCTCCTCCCGGTTTTTCCCGATCACATTTTGAGCAGTAGTGAACTTCTCCAGCCACTGCTCATACTCTACTGGCTTGAGTTCTTTGTAGGCAAACACCAGCGTCCTAAGACCGACCTCGGCATAAGTTCGCAAGTGGTCCAGTGTTATGGATATATGTTCTTCGTCATGGCGATCCAAACGGTCGAGCATCACGGAATCAGCACCTTTCGATAGAAGCACGATGTTACCTCCTGGAAGGCGCACGATCACCGACATGCGTTTCCTGGCGCTGCTGAACTCCAGCACATTTAGAAGCTCATAAGCATTATCAGCAGTTTCTCCTTTGGTTCCAGTTATCTCCCTCACATATAGAGTAGTCGGGGTCTTCTTGTAGAAAACATATCCAAACTGCTGGGCCGCCACCACAAGAGCAGTCTCATCGGGAGACTCAGCGCGATACTGGATAGATTTTGGATCCGCAATATCACCCTCGGGTAGCGCTGTGTGGCAGAGAGCGAGCGTCTGGAAGAAAAGCTTAATCCTGTCGGCATTCTCCTGTTTCAGCCACTTCCCATCCATCAACCGGTCGTCCTGGAAATTGAACCCCTTCACAACCGGATCACTGGTGTCAGCATCCTCGGCGTGAGCCTCCAGGAAAGGTATTCCCAGCCTCTTGGACGCTCTTTCAACGTCTGTAGATCCCGTCCCATATGAAGTTCCATCGATGGTACACTTGCAAAAATCCATCTGGTTGGCAGTGAGCGTTCCAGTCTTGTCGGACAGGATGGTATCCACTTGTCCAAGTTCTTCGTTCAACCCGGAAGACTTCACTTTCGCAGGCCGGTCAGTCTCCTCGTCGTACATGCCCAGGTCCTGGCCAATAAACAAGGCTTGGATCACTCGGACAATCTCCAGCGTGACGTAGAGAGAGATCGGGATAAGGTAGCCATATAACACCAGGCCGTTTACAAACGCGATGATACCAGCGATGGCTGCTCTCCTGGGATTGTAATAAGGATTGTCCTCGAAAGGCCTGAAGTAGAACAGCCTCGACAGTCGGAACCTCGTCAAGAGGCCACCTGCTAGACCCGTTGCCAAGCTCATGACGAAGAGTATCCCAAACATAACCCACATGATGTGATCCAGCTTCTGGTCCATGCGGCTGCGTTTCGACGGTGGATTGATGGCGTTTCTCATGACTTTCGTGTCCCGTCCCGCGTAAATCACCACCCCGTATACGTAATCCGTGTTTTGGAGGCAGGAGTCCCTGAGAAGCACCTGCGGCGGTCCCATGGGAGAAACCTGGCCATCCGGAAACTCCAGCCTGCCGCTGAACGTATAAAGCGAAGCGTTGGGAGGCTCGCACTTCAGAACCGCATCAAAGTCCTTGAAGCTTTCATCGCTAACCAAATGACTTGTACTTTGCGACGCTTGTCGGACCTGCCTATCAAATCACAGAAACGAGATTACTTGTGTTCACTCAAGGAATAAGCCAGACGTCACCTTTAAGTTAGTCTCCCCGTCGAGGTTCTTCGTCTCTACGTAGCACACTCCATCGGAATTGCTGGATTGCAGAAGCAGTAGATCTGCCGGGAAGAACTCCTTGTCCTTGACTTTGACCACATCTCCGACCAGAAGCTCCCTCCACAGCTTCACTTGTGCCGTGCCTCTCGTGCAACATGTCACGGGCCTGGAATTAATCTCACGATCCCCTCGTGCTCGACGAACATCCTCCCAGAGCTCTCTCGCCATGCCGAGGGCAATGACGAAGAGAAGGGGCAAAATAACGCTGACCGGTCGGTATGGACTGAAGGGCGTTAGCGACAGCCCCGCCATAGCCGTGAAGTACCAATAAGCTGCTCGCCGATACTGCTCAAACAAAGATCTCGGTACGAAACTGTACCATGTATACTTTGTAGTCCAGGTTCTATTGTTTGGATACCTGGAGTGAAAAGGATAAAGAAACTTACAGCGAAACAAGAGCTAAGATCGCAATTCATACCTGAAAGGGGCATTGAGTGGCGGATTGTTGCAGTGGACTTCATGTTCGTCTCCATCAGCAATCGCCAGTAGATCTTCCGCATCCCCACCGCGCTTAGATCTTCCACTCCAGCATTTCCTCGCACTCTTCCATACGTGCACAAGGAAATCCGGCCCCATAACTCAACCTCCCACGAGCAAAACTTCCTCCTCTTTACTGTCAAGGTAAAGCCTTAAAACGAGAGAGGAAAGGGGCACGGGCCGCTTCAAAGGAAAATAACGAGTCAGAGATCCCAACTTCTAGAACGACTCCTCCAGCAATTGCGCGCTCTTTGACACGAACTTGCAAGCACCAAAGTCAACCGGAATGGCAACGTGCCGACAAGGCATTCATGAAAGTGCTATGAAAATGCTTTCGTGTGAGCAAGTGGAACAAGCCCAAACAGCGTGAACACATGGACCGCATGAGCGAGGTGCCGGACGAACGAAGGCAAATTTATGCCCAACGCAACAACAAAAAAGAGGAACTGCACAAAGGAAGAAAAGAAAAAAAGGGCTCGACTCCCTAACAAGGACGCTAGACTGCTAAAAATCTCTCCAAACCAAAATGGGGAGGAGCGCCACTATTCCTTCTCGGACTTTGGACGGGCAAAGGGCCAAGCCACAAGAAAACAAAGCAAGGGGCGGCGGCAAGGAATGGGGGAACTGCATTTTCGTCCGGCCATACCTCAGAGCGCGTTAGCGGCAGCCTTTGTTGATCCGTCGCGCGGCGACGACCATAGCCATGGCGCTTTCACGGATCCAGCGCCCCCTCATTCTCCAAGATATTAGGGCAAACTACTCCGTCGTCGTCCTCCTCGTCGCGCGCGAGCAGCTTCACGGCGCCTTCGCCACGACCTAACAATCGCTCTCCTCTCTTCTTTCTCTCCCTCTGAAATTCAAAACCGATAAATCCCCCTATAAACCCTAGGCATATTCCATGGAGGTAGAAGCGGATATGCCCTTAGTCGTCGCCACGTTTGCCTCTTTTGACGTGCACTCGTCAAAAAGAGATCGAGGCTCGACCGTGACATTCCACGTAATCACGCAACATGAGGTTTTGGTGATCAAAGCAAGCTAGAATTTTTCTCCTCCTTCGTTTTTTTCCTTTTGGGCTCATCCAATGGTGACGCTCGGAGGATCAAATCCTTTGCTTCGTCGTTTGCGATCATCATCTTCTCATAGCTTTAAGATGATCTCGATTTGCTTTGGTGGTGACCTCCTTGTAGCTTTGATCGAATCGCTTCGATCACGCCTGTGACGATCCTCTCTCTTTTTCTACTTTTTTCTCTCGATTCACCAAACTTTAGTAGCTCTTTTCTTCCTTTTTAATTTCGGGTGTTGGTTCTTTTTCTCCTTTTTTTTTTTGGCTTTTGCTTCCACTGACGAAGAGCTGACGAAAAACATCAAAATTACCTGGGATCACTCATCCTTTCAGCGCCGGTTTGGACTCCGCGAGGCAAAGAACTCGAAGTCGGGGTGGCGGACACGGAGTCCCTTGAGCCACGAGTCCGCATGGCCCTCCAAGTTGGATGCCAGGAGCTTCTCGGGGTTTCCAGCCGACGTCCAAAACGCTCCCCTGAGCTTGTAAGATCCCAGTCCAAACGACTGCAAAACCAGCCTTTTCAAGCCATCCTCTGGCCGGATGGAACCATCGACCAAGTCGAGCCTCGCGGATCCCAGAGGAGGCTCGGGAGCATCTGAAATCTCTGATCCATTGGCATCTTCAGAAACTTTCTGTAGCACCACAGCCATTACCTTGTAAAGGAGTGGAAAGCGAGTGGAAAGTTAGAAAGCAAGTTCCCAGGTCTTTGAGAGTTGGCCCCGTTGGAATGCGATAGATGGGATACCTGGGAGTGAAAGCTTTGCGCTCAGGGCGAACAAAAGAACAAGCTTGTGGACATACCAAGCTATCGAGAACCAGCTTGTCGGCAAGAGCTCGTAGCTACGGAGCGTCCTGATATCCGGAAAACTCCGTTCGAGCTCGCTAATCTGAAAAGCACGAGAAAAACATGAAGAACTTGAAAAAGTTTCGAAGCCATACCTTGCCAATCAGAGGAACGCGGCTGTAAGGCGCTGAGTCCTCGAGGTAACTGAGGAGGAGATGATCGGCCTCCTTGCGCTCCCAGTTGTCTACTTCTTCGTCATCGTCATCGCTCAACACTTCATGCAAGGCACTCAGCGTTGCGTTGCTACGGCCGCGGCAGAATCCCGTGGTCTGGCACTTCTTCCAGAAGGACGTCCGGATGGGACCGATCCCCTCCACACTGGATTCACTGTCATTGTCGCTGCTCACATCACTGTTTGAGTCACGGTAGTCACTGCTCTCGCTAGCATCACTGGAGTCATGGCAAAACTTCCTGCGACAAGAACACAAAAATCGCTTAGAATAAGAAGCTGGCGAAAGCAAAGAAACGCGAGAAACGACTTACCTCGAGTTCAAGCAACGCCTCAAACCCGTCCTTGTGTAGAGTTGAAGCGCAGAAAGGTATGGTACGTAGTACTGCACCACTTCCTCCTTCCCGTTTAGCACCAGAGGAACTCCAGCTCCATAGGCGCTCCACTCGTCAAAACTATCCCACAAATCTCCCAGGGTGAAAAAAGGGATGGATTCCACATTGGCCGGCCTCCATCTCTTGACACTGCTGTCCCAAAGACAAGTCTGCAAGAGAGAAGAACCATAAAAAAGAAAAGAGAACCAAATCCTCGTTAGCTCATCGCTAGAACAAAATGCCAATGCCACAGCAAACCTTTGGCAGATATTGCAGTTGTACTTTGGGCGTTGTGTGGTGTAGAAATTGGTCCAGGTTTGATGACGACGTCGAGGCCTCGCTCACTTGCCGAGATTTCTCGTCTGGAATGATCCGTGGCGCTGATGCCACCGCGGTCGGCCTGGAAGTTTTGCAAGGGGAATTCCTATTGCCATCGCCACAGCAGCAACAGCAGCATCCTCCTCCCCCTTTTCCACCCAATTTCGAGGCTATGTTGTGCTCAATTGCAACATCCGACATAGCCACTTGCTCTATTTGCCCCACCATGGGCAATCCTAAGCTAGAAATTCGTACTACACTACCACGATTCTACCCGGATCGCAAGAAATCCACAATGAAGACCGCGGCACCAGCGCGAGCTATGGAATCAGGATTAAAACCCTACCTCTTCGTCTCCCCAAAGACTCTAGCAGCCAAGCACACAAAAACAACACGGGAGAGAGAGAGAGAGAAAGAGAGGAAACTCGCCATCGAGGGTTAAGTGTCGGGCATATACCAGTAACACGTGGAAGGATATTCCGGGAATAGTTCGTGTGCGCGTATAATGTGTGCCCCTTATTTTTCTCTGTGGGTTGATTTGCCTAAATGGGCGACCTTTCCACGATACAAATCCAAATCCCAGTGATCCACATCGGCGTATCATCACGATCGATTTCTTTGTCAAGGATTTGACCGAGCCGATAACGTTATCCCTTGAACCTAGGGCTGACGTCACCAGGGGTTAGGGTTTGCGTGGCTTTCCAAATCCAAACGGGGAAAAGGTGGGGGGAGATTAGAAAGAATGGCCTGTCCACGCCGAAGTAGCCGATGGTACACGGCCAATGAGGTGAAAGAGCACTGCACGCTTGGCGATTGCTGGGTCACGTCCCTGGGAACCGTCTATGACGTTACCAAGCTCATCCCAAAGAACCCCGGCGTCCTTGGCAAGGTATCCCATTGTCTATCCTATTGTCTCTTCCAAAATGCGATTTTTTGGCTTCCATCGTCGCGATCTAAGCTTTGGCTTGGCCTTCTCGTCAAGTGTGTGCGCAGTTGCTCGTCTACGAAGCCGGCGGTGACATAAGCCACTGGTTTGATGCCAAGACTGGCAGCGTCAAGCTCTACCGGGATCCAGTCTCCAACGTCGAGACCTTCGACGTTCCACAGGTGATGATAAGTTTTGCTTGCCAGAGCTCTCGCCGAGGATCTGTTGGTGTCACTGCTCGCAGGGGCGATTCGTTCACATCCCACCGACGGGACCCCGGACGGACTGGAACAGCGGCTACCCCTTCGACTGGTGGAACGATCCCGAGTATATCATCGGGAGCTGAGCAGGAAGACCCGGATGGTGAGGATCAAGAACGTTCTCATCGACCACGAGATCCTTCTCGAGGTAAGCTTTTAAGTTGGCAAAGTCTGTTCCTCTTTCTCGCCTGATTTTCTTCAACTAGGTGCCGTCCGAGGAGAATGTGCAGCACATCCTCGAGCGTTATCTCGCGTACAACGCGCACGCCAACAGCTACACCTGGAAAGCAATGTGTGTAAATGACAAGAAAGAGTTTGTCGACTTGAGCATGGAGAAGACACTCACCGAGAACGGGATAGCCGACGAGGCCGACCTGTTTGTGTCCCTGGGCCTAGCATCGTACTTTTACATCCCGGTCGTCCACATCTACTTCAACGATGACTTAACAGTTGCCTGAGACGTTTGCGCTCTTCGTTGCCGGCACCTGGAACTTTGCAATGAAGAATCCGATTGTATCGACTGGACTGGACGGATCAAATCTTTGCACTAGATATTGCTCTCCTTCCTTGAGCCATTCCCTGTAGTTCAAAAGGAGTAACTTTGGCCTGCTCTTAAAAGTAAAAAGATCATTGTACCTGTAGCCACGACCATCATAGACACTCGTTCCTCCGACAAGCCCCGGGCCTCCAATCTTTGGCACCTGGCACAATTAACTGTTTGACTGTCTAATCTGATCAGAAAAGAACTAACTTTTACCTGATCCACAAGCACCAAAAACTTATACTTGTCTAGTGCATAACGCACCAAAGCTTCATTCTCGCCAGGATTAATGGTGCACCTGCACAAAGTCCTCCACGAAACATCAGTTTACACACAACACACTGCACGACTTACGTGGAATACACTAACGTTCCGCCCGCTTTCACAAGTTCCACGGCTCTGTCAAACAGCCGACGCTGGTAAATCGCATGCCGTCCCAGAGATTCTAACGTTTCCTGTAAGAAAACGATAACAGTTTAATCCCAGGAAAAAAGGATAAGTACGTCACCTCGGCAGCAAAAAGACGTGGCCTCAATCCTAATGCCGAGCATGGTGCATCGAGTAAAACTCTGTCAAACGAGTTTGGAGGAAAGCGTTTTATCATGTCCACTCTGCCTCCTAAATGCTGTCCTCTTCCACGGCCGTTCTTCAGTCTCCGGGATTCTTTTCTTTCACGAGCTTTACTTGTATATTGACTAGTCGGTGGAACTTCAGTCTGAGGGGGATCACCCAGAGTTGCCATAAAGCACTGGATTTCTGCACGGCCAAAGTGAGAGATATTTGCAAAAAAAACACAGGCATAATTGCACGTCAGACCTTTCTCTAAAGGCTGTGTCAGCGCTAGCGAAGATTGCGCATCGGAATCCACCTGGACAGATTTCAAAGCGTCTAATTTGAAAGCCTGAATGCAGGACAATCCAAGTTCCTTCGCAAGGCTTAAAATTTCCAGGACCTGGTCGGACAAGTCAGAAAATCGACAAATAAATGGTATTTTCTCACCTTGTTATGTGTCCGATCCAAAGCGATCACTTCTCCAGTATTGTTCATCAGAGAGGCAATAGCAGTCGTTTTACCACCCGGGGCAGCACACATATCCAATATCCTCTCTCCAGGCTGTGGATCTGGACAAACCTTAGTTTTATTTTTTCATCGATTGATCGTGAGGAATCTAACATACCGAGGACAATGGCCGTGACAATGCTCGGTAGATTTTGTAAGAACACCCTTCCTTCAAGTATTCCTGAGACACAAGCGTAAAACCAAGAGCAGAAAGGCTGTTTATATTACCATGAAAGGCAGGAAGGTTGTAAATCCGATCTGTCATTTTAACTGCAATGCCTTGCCTTTCCCTGAACAACGTAGGCCGGGACATCATCGCGCGGCCTTTCCCGATAAACCAGTCATATGGACTGCCTCCAAGAGCTGCAAACCCGGAAGAATAAGTCAAAAAACTGTATCAGAGTGGAAAATACTTTACATGATTCCCAATCGCTCAGAGGGATAGTCGTCCCTCGAGTAACCCCATTCGACCATTTCCCCGCGCTATCCTTGACTTCAATCCTCGCAAAAACTGCTACGGAGTCACCTTCATCGACATGCTCGCTACAAGCTAAAACACCTGGAACAAAAACCTTTCACGCTGTCGTTAAAGACTATAAGAGAGAAACGCGGAACACAAAAACTCTTACCTCGGCACCACGGAGCACAGCTTCCGCACACTTTCTACTAACCATTACGATCTTTTGTACCTCGTCGTCATAGCTCACGTCGCAAGGACCACGGCCAGGCACAATCACCACATTTTTAAGCAAGGGATGCTCGTAGCAAGTCGTTCCTTCCGCTTCCTTGCTCGATAAGAATTCCTTGAGCTCCGCGATGACGGCGGCAGTACTTGTTTGCATCGCATTGACGCGAACACAGCAGTACGTAGAAGGCCGACTGCGTTGAAACAAGACGTAAGTAAACGTTTCTAAAAACTAGAGAACTTTCAAGGCAAGAAAAACTAAGTAAAGTCTCTCAAAACTCTCGAAAACCAGAGAACTTCCAAGGCAAGAAAAACTAGAAACCACTAGAGAGCATCACGAAATTTGCAAAACAAGGCAGCAAAATGCCCAAGCATTCTATAGGAATCAAATCTATCCTTCCAAAACTTACGTGAGCGCGTCACAGATTCGAGAGAAGTGATCCGGACCATAAGCCTCTCTAAGGTACTCGTACACTGCTGGATTCCACAGCAATGCCGGCCTATAGCCGAGCTTGCGCTGCATTGCGCGCCTCGAATCGAGCAAAGATTTCCTAAAGCCCTAATCCCCGCTAGCCCTACTTTTCGATTCCCATTGCCCTAACTAACGACCCAGTGCCCGTGAATTCTCCACAGGAATCGCAAGCGCCGTCCATGGTTTCCAGGTCTGTCTCCTCGATTCCTAGCGACCGATCGTCGGCGCCAGGGCCAGCGCCAGCGCCCTAGCCGATGGATTTCGACGTCTCCCTCTCGCAAGCTGCTAGATCCAAGCTTTTCGACAAGAGAGCGACCAGATGATTGGCGATGGGCAGGAATCTCAGCCCGGGATTGACAATGCAGCACCTCTAGAGCGCCAGAAAGGTTCCAAGAGTCTTTAGCGTAGCAATGCAGCGTCTCTAGAGAGGGGGAAAAGCTCCAAAGGCTCCATTCTAGCGCTGTGATCTATGGGGAACTGTCTGGGCGGTGGTGATGAGAAGAAGCAATCAGCGAGGCAAGCGCTGGTGGCCAACGTTCTCGGGCAGCCTCACAAGGACATCAAGCAGCAGTACACGATTGGAAGGGAGCTGGGACGAGGACAGTTTGGAGTGACTTATCTTTGCACCGACAAGAAGAGCGCTCAACAGTTTGCCGTCAAGACCATCTCCAAGCGCAAGCTGATGAACAAGGACGATGTGGACGACGTCAAGAGGGAGGTTCAGATCATGAAACACTTGACAGGGAAGGATAACATCGTGGAGCTCTACAGCACTTTCGAGGACAAGTCCACCGTCTACTTGGTGATGGAGCTCTGCCAGGGAGGAGAGCTCTTCGACAGGATAGTCTCCAAGGGCCACTACACCGAGAAGGCTGCTTCGGCGGTGTGCCGGACGATTGTCAAGGTGGTGCACACTTGTCACTCGCACGGAGTGATCCACCGAGATCTCAAGCCCGAGAATTTCTTGCTGGCCAACAAGCGAGAGGATGCTCCCGTCAAGGCGACGGACTTCGGCCTCTCGGTGTTTTTCAGATCTGGTATGGAACTAGCCCCTTGTTTCTTCTGGTTTTCTTCCAAGCTTTGATTTTGACAAGTTGAGGTGGTGGCTTGCAGGGCAGGTTTTTAGAGAGATTGTAGGCAGCGCTTATTACGTAGCACCCGAAGTTTTGAAGAAGAGTTACGGTCCCGAGGCTGATGTTTGGAGCGCTGGTGTTATTCTCTACGTTCTCTTGGCTGGAGTTCCTCCGTTTTGGGCAGGTTAGCTAGTTTTTGATAGTTTTCTGTCCAGCGTTTCTCATGGAGTTTTCTTCCGCAGAGACGGAGCAAGGAATTTTCGAGGCTGTTTTGAGAGGGCACTTGGATCTTAATGGGAGTCCATGGCCGACCATCTCAGCGAGCGCCAAGGATTTGGTAAGAAAGATGCTGAAGCCGAATCCCCGAGAGCGTTTGAGTGCTGCTGATGTTCTTCGTAAGTTTGAGGCACGTTAGCTTTGGTGACTACAACGCATCTAATGACACGTCTCTTTGATAGCACAGAACATCCGTGGATAAAGGAAGACGGAGACGCGCCAGACAAGCTCATTGATGGCGAAGTCTTGTCCAGAATGAAGAACTTCTCGGCCATGAACAAGCTTAAGAAAGTCGCTCTCAAGGTCTGCAATCTTTTCTTTATCTTGGTCATAAGCTCTCAAATCTTTGCTCCACCATCGCAGATCATTTCTGAGAGTCTCTCCGAGGAGGAGATCATAAAGCTTAAGGACATGTTCAAGCAAATGGACACAGACAACAGTGGTACGATCACATTTGAAGAGCTGAAAGCTGGTCTTGCAAAACAAGGCTCCAACATGATCGATGCTGAGATCCGGCAGCTAATGGAGGCTGTAAGTATCTCTCTCCACGGATGTGTTTGAAAGCTTCTTTCTCACTGCAAACTTGCTCAAGGCGGATGTCGATGGAAACGGGACAATTGATTACTTGGAATTCATTCAAGCGTCGATGCATCTAAACAAGATGGACAGAGGCGACCACTTGCACGCAGCGTTTCAAAACATCGACACTGATGGCAGCGGGTGAGCCGATTTTCTCATGGTTATGGAAGAAAGTTATAACTTCTCCATAGGTACATTACGATGGAGGAACTGGAAGCCGCGCTAGTGAAGCATGGACTCGGCGTGGAAGACGCGAAAGATATCATCAAGGAAGTGGACACGGACAATGTAAGTTTGTGGATCTCATTTACAAAATGAATGGTAAGCGATTCATGCAGGATGGGAGAATAAACTACGACGAGTTTTGTGCGATGATGTTGAAGAGGAATTCTCCTCCCGCTGGAGCAGGCCACAGGAGAAGCATCAATGATCTTCCGGTTGGGATAAAGAAATAAAGAAACTCAAACCACAAGCTCCAAGATCGAGCTTCAGTAGGCCACTCGGTTTTGGAGCTCCAATGCCTCTTTGCATTATCCAAGTCCGATCGATGGACACGATCATGAATCTCATCACGTGTACATTGTTTCTGCAATTTCTAAGATTCTTTCTACAAGAATCAAAAACAACCTTGTCATCATAATCAGGGATCACTGGATTAAAGCTGACAACTAGAGAGGAACTTGTACTACTTCAAGTCTTAGGAAAGTGGCTAATTGGTCCTGAATACACACTTAGAGGAAGAATCTTTATTGGACATTGGAGGAATAGGTGAGTAATAATAATTTCATGCCCAATAAATTTATATAAATTTTTAAAGATTCAAAATTTAATTTTTTATCATATTTCCACCACTAACATTGATATTTCATATTAATGTCCAATTCTTTAAAAGCATTGATTATTTTACTTTCTATTGTTTCATATGGCATACATACATGGCATATGAAACAAATAAAGAGTTCTATATTGGTAATTTATACTTAGAAAAGTAAAAAATAAAGTTAAAAGATGACACTATAAAAATTTAATAGTTATTTTTCAATGTATAGATATGGTTAATTTTTAAGTAAAATATTTGTACTTATTTTCTTATGAAAATAAAAGTTATGAATTCTTATTTTTTAATCATAATTTCCTGTTGGATGGTTCCCATGTGTAATAATAAAAATAAAGTAATTGAGTTATAATATTATTATATTTAATTTCTTGTGTTAGAATTAATAATGGAAAACAATATTTACTCTAAACCCTAACCATAAAAATAAAAGTAGCATTAATATTTATAAAATAATTTTTTGAACATTGAATCATAATCTAACATATAGTGATTGATCTATTACATCTATATTTGTCTCAAAAAATATATTTAATAGTTTAAGTAATGAAAAAATACTTGTATATATACTCTAGACACAAGTTAAAATATTCAAAGAGCCATTTATTTCTAATATATGTCTTGTCTGAAAATATGTTATTAATAAACTCATCAAATAATGATGAAACTTTAGACAAGTTATGTATAAAGATATGTAATAAATATTATATGTTTATATGTGCTATATTATATATGCTACTATAAATGTAAAACAAATTCCTCACTCACTTATACATGGCTCAAATGTTTAGTAAACTCCACTTGGACAAATGCAAGAATGCTCATCAAATACTAATCCTAAGATTTAGCATCGGCAGTTTGTGGCAATCATGAAAGTAAACTCAATCTTATTAGCAATATCTGATTATAACTATATAAGAGTTTATATAGTGAAGCACTAACAAAACTTTGTACCTTTATGATATACATATACTAAAAAGAAGGCAAATAACCATCCTAATCCAAATGTTGAAAGTTTATATATTTTATGATCATGCTTTTGAAGATCTAAATGAGTTGTTCTACCAAACCATTTATCTATAGATGATAAGCACTTATAAAAGTATGGCATATCTTTAGTCAAGATATTAAAACATGAAATGCCTCAGCTATAAATGCAAGATTATTATCTGAGAGAATTCATGTTTGACAAAATTGTTAGAATACCACTCAATTGAGGAGAAAGTATCTAACAACAATTGTAAACTCATTAGTAAGAGCACCAACTTCCACTTAGCAAGTCAAGTAGTTAAAACCAATAATAAAATATTCATTACTAATAGTCAACCATGGAAAATGCTTCATCAAATCAAATGCATTAACTCAAATAAATGAGAAAATGCAATTGATTTCAACCCTTCTTTCGTAACATGAGATAGAGTATTATGAGTTTAGCATTAAACATAACTACACATATACCAAATACCATCATGTCCCATCTTTAGTCAATAGAAAGATTTGTGTAGCTTTTCCATCACATAAAAATGCCTCATATATCTATCTAAAATAAGATAATCATGATAATCATAGAGAAAGCATGGAATAAAAATCGAAAGTGCTACTAACCACAAATGATTATCATGATCAATCCCCATAAAATGAAAGTTATCCTCAAAGCGATATTGAAAATATAAATGCCAAAATAACAAATCATCAACAAGTGATACAAAATTCTCAAATCCATCACAAAGACTTTAAATCTATGGCTCAACCTTTTAAGCCTTATGAACCTCGTAAAAAAAATTAAATCTTGCTTTCGGCCTTATAAACATTAAATATCAAGTATAATAACTGTCGATAGTATAAAATCCTTGTCCAAAAAATCCATAAATGCTAAAACAATAGGCTCATTAAGAACAAAAGAAAATAGCAAAGAAGGAAGAGGAGCTCGAGAAAATGCCTCAACATCAACTATAGAACTCCCCAAGAAATTAACAACTTTGAAATCATATATTTAAAGCTTTAAAGCCTATCGAGCAATATAACCAACCAAGTTTTTCCACTTAATAATGAAGTAACTACAGCATAATCACTTTTTAGTAATATTCAACAACCATGCAAATATACATGAAGCTTTTTGAAACCCAAAATTGCTGCTAAACACTCTTTTTTTATCATGGAATAGTTCATCTCTATTCATTATAATATACAACTAATATATGCAATGAGATAACGTTAACTAGGCACACTCGTACTTTCTTGCATTAAGACACCCCCAAGACTGATATCAGAAGTATCCACATACAAAATGAAAGGTTGAGTATAATCAGGATATGCCAAAAACCAGAGGAGTCATTAACAGTTCTTTAAAATCTGTAAATGCCTATTTGCAATCTTTAGATTACACAAAAGATGATATTGACGACTTTAATAATGCTCACAATGGTGCAGTACGATTAAAAAAATAATCAACCAAATGACTAAGATAGTATTTTTTGCCCAAAAAGCATTGCACATCATTCATACACTTCAGAGTAGGGAACTTTAGAGTAATCACAAGTTTGTTAAATTTAACTTGCAAACCTTCACGAAAAATATAATACCCAAGATAAGTTATGTCCTTAAATCTAAAGATGTAGCCATAATATAATGGGAGGGGCCATTGACTTATTCATGCAATTACTTGTGCAACTCTTTGTTTTCCAAAAGAATTTCTATGTTAAAATCTTCCATTACAACAACATCAATAAGACATTGTTAATGCCAAGGCCTTCACCCAGGAAATGGAAGGCACCAATCTGGAAAATGCTGACAACACTGATACATATAACCAACTTCCCAATAGTGGGCATCACAGCCATGATCACATCTTCACCTTTGTCTTTGAACATGAGCAACAGTAGCATTAACCTCTATCAAAACAAGACCATTTCCCATAGGAAGTGGAGCTAAAAGACATGCAATGAAAAATGGAAGAAACAATGTTTTATAATATTATACTAGTCAAAGAGCATTGTTAAGGGTGGTTAAAATAAGTATATGTATAAGGCTCATAAGATCTTGACAAAATGTTAGTTGAAACCATTCCCAATTTGATCCACTTTGACATATTTAACTCTGTATAAAATAAGAAATTTTGAAAACAAACACCAAACTGCATCATTGACTCAAATGACTTATGATGTAAGTGATGCAATTGTTGGAAAGTATTATCATAATCATCAGTAAAAACTAAATTAGCCCAAAGCCAAGCACTCATTAGAGGCAATTAAAGTTGCCCTTTAACTCCACCTATGTGAATGCATATAATATGGAAATGGAATATAAAAATCTACATATTAATTAGTCAAAAACCCTATGTTAGATATAGGATTAAGTAAAACTAATCTAATGGCTTTCAAAATCCCACTATGCTAATATTAGTATATAGTATCATAGCCGTACACTTAGACCTCACAATATTATGAAAAATAAAATAAAAATTATATTTTATTATAAATATTTATTTTTCAACAGTATAAAGTTTATATAATAATTTTCAAAAAATTAATACTTAGATATATGTTTCTGAATGCAAAACTATGTTTTGAGATTTTTAATATAAATTTTTTTTATCTATTTAAGCAAACGTGTAAAAGGATTGAGGTGGTAGTGGATATATTTAGAACAAAAATATTTTACTATTTAATGGCTGTTATTCATTTAAAATTTATAATTTACAAACATGGCTATAAATATAAACTTTTCTAAATAATTGTTAGTATATTCTAGTTTATTTTACCATCTAATGATTGATATATAAAAATATTAGTCTTGTGGTTAAAACTTATAATGCCACCATCAATTGAGTTTGATTATTCAACTGCAATCACATAGCATTGAGAAACTACTATCTTGTGGTTAAAAACATGTATATTAATTATAAACTTAAATAAGTATCAATAAATATAATAAATAATAAGCACTACTACTAAGCAAACTAAATGTTGTTCCATACATCACATGGAAAATTAAAGTTTTTTAAAATTATTATTAATCAACTAAAATTTTTATTAAATACTTTTATTAAATACATACATATACAAAATGGGCTATCTCTATGCTATATTACTATAATTAGCATATTATCCAAGGACTCCATCTAATCCATCCATTCCTACATGTAAACAAGAGTCTAAACCCAATTTATATACCTATTCTCATAGTTCACATTGGTGGAGATTGCTTTGTTCAATGTTTGGGATTATGCTTTTGATAGCTACAATCCTAGATTTAGTGAGAAGCTAACATAATTTTTAATCTAAAAGAGAATAAAGGAATAAATCAAATCTGTTCTTACTTTTTAATTTTCAGTACATTTTCTTCTTTTATCATACCATGCCATCATTGATCAAAGAGTATATCACTTAATGTTACTAACACTACTCTATTAGATTGAGGTTTTGGTGTTGTGGGCCATGATTATATTGGTGTTGTGCCTATCCTTAGTGTATTGTTGTTGCTTTTCTATAGAACATAATTACATTGTCTATGTCCTATAATTTCTTATTGATGTGGAGTGTGATTTGTGATATCAATTAAGGAGTTATAGATGATGCAATTTGATTCTTGAAGGGTGTTCAAAGATTAAGTTTATAAAAAGATGAAGTTTAAGTGGTTTTATATTCAATTACTGTAAAGATAGCTTTGAAGATGAGTTGAAAATTTTACTAGTTAAGTGTCAATCTTTCAATTTATTATATAGTCCTTTTTCATTGTATTCTACTCTTTTCTAACCTTTTTCTATTTACAGCTTTTACCATCTCTACAAGTTTTTAATTTTTATTCCCCTATTTATAATATTTTCTTTTTTCTACCATGTTAATCAATTTTGACTTTTGTGATTCATATTTTTAATTTGGTGTTGAGTTAAGTATTTTATATCTTCTTTATACTAATCAGGATGTTGAGCGTATGCATAAAACTATGCATTGAGGAAGTTGAACAGTATGAGTTTTTTGCTTATCTTATGGTGGCCAAAGTTATCTTATTGTGGCCAATGTATCGATATTTTCTATTATTCAGCTTTTTGTTTGGATAGAGTCTCTTATAACAGAAGATCCCATATTATTCAAGCTTTAAGCACATTTTCTTCTTTTTATTTCTCTTTTTATGCTTTAGCAACTGCTAAAAATTCCTCTTTCAATATTTTCTTATCCACTTTTTATTCTTCCATAATATTTTTTTTCTTTCATTTTCCTTTTTTACTTTGATACTTTAAATTTTTTCTTCTTCAAAGGAAGGGGTATAAAGAACAAATGGGAATTTAGCCCTAATGATGGAGTGAGGACAAGTGAATATAATAGTGGGGTGAGGATAAATAATATGGATTACTATATACATTATATACTCAAAAATTAATCTAAGAATTTTGTAGATAATCCAGAGGATGAGACTAGGAATCTTGGGAGGAGATCTGTAACTCTTTTGTTTGTGATGGATTGATAAGTAACTCTTTTTATTGAATATGCTAGTAGTTCTCCTTTATTTAGATGAATTTTGTGTCTAAAACTAATAGCTGAGATTTTATGTGCTATCCTCCATTGTTCTAACAACTTTTGCTAGTTCTAGTTCATTTG